ATTTAAAATATCAATAATAATATATTAACTTTGTTGTTATGTATTTCTTGTAACTCAATTAATTTATTTTGTTATTTATAGGGTATTGAATCTATTGGAAAAGTGTATATGCATTTGCCACAAACCGATTCCAAAAAGAGAATAATTATTACGGATACTGGAGAGTTTAAAGCAATTGCTGATTGGTTGTTAGAAACTGATGGTACAAGTTTGATGAAAGTCTTGAGTGAAAGAGATGTTGATCCTGTGAGAACATTCTCCAATGATATTTGTGAAATATTTTCGGTAAACTTTATGCTTATTATAAGATTAATTAAAAACTATATTATTTATTATATCTCGAATTTCAGGTTTTGGGTATTGAAGCTGTACGTAAGTCAGTTGAAAAAGAAATGAATACCGTATTGCAATTCTATGGTCTGTACGTAAATTATCGTCATTTAGCATTGTTGTGTGATGTTATGACTGCCAAAGGCCATTTAATGGCCATTACTAGACATGGTATTAATAGACAAGATACAGGAGCATTGATGAGGTAAATATTCATTGTGCATTATTATTTATCAAACATAATTTGAAATTTGAATTTATTTAGAATAATGAATATAATAATTCAATATTTTTAGATGCTCATTTGAAGAAACAGTTGATGTTTTATTAGATGCTGCTTCACATGCTGAAGTTGACCCAATGAGAGGTGTATCTGAAAACATTATTATGGGACAATTGCCTAGAATGGGAACAGGTGAATATTATATTTCTATTTATTAGACATTTGTGACAGAGTGATAATACAAAATACTTGTTTGTAATACCCTGAAATATCCTTCGTATTTGGCTTTAAGCGGTAAAAAGATAGAAGAAATATAGACAAAAATAAGGGCGTTAGTCTCTAAACTCTGTCATATGGTTAAATGATTTTCTTATCCACTTTACTTTTATGTAAGTATCAACATTTCTGAAAAAAAAGGTTTTTTCCTAAAAAATTGGAAATTATAATAAATAATTTATAATAATATAAAAATATATTATTATCTTATCCCGCATTTCCGTCCATGATGTTTTGTTGTTACGTATTTTCCTAATAATTATTAATTAATATTGTCAATCGTGCACTGTTTATATATTTTCTAAAACTTACAAGTAATATTAATTATATAACATTTAAAAATGCAGGTGATTTATTTTCGGGGAAATACACCCTCCCACGTAAATACCAATTTGATATATAACTACGTTATTTTTAGAAAAATATTGAAATATCCGTATTAATATTTTTATAGTTTAATTTTAAATACAATAATACATTGATATAACCATATCTGCAAATCTTAAATGACAATGACAGCCGACAGGTCCTTATCTATTTTTTGAAATGGTTTTTTTTTTACATAGATTATTTTAATTTTTAAAAGTAAATACAATTTTTTAATTTTCCAAAAATTCGGTTTTTTTGAAATTTTCCAAAAACTTCTGTTTTTTCGGAAATGTATTATTTTAATATTCTCTAATTTTTCCACGTTTTCCAAGGCTTTGGGAAAAAAATGGTTTTTTTCTAATTTTTTTGGAAATTTTCCGGCATTTAGATCCCTATGTAAGATGTTTTCATGTACTAAGTACTCCATCATTAATATTAATAATTAATAGTTATCTACTTGTATATAATACATTTATTTATTCATGTATGGTGTATTAACTTATGTATTATAGTTAATTTTCTTATGTATAAATATATGATAGGTGATTTAGGTTTTATCGATAACCATAAAGATTTACTAATAGAACAGAATAGACTTTAGAGTATAGATGACCAAAATTAATGACACTGTTGTGATCTCTTTCAATTACCTTAATAAATGTTCTCATTATTTTTCTGCTAATAATTCTATTGTATTATATGTAAAATAATTATTTACTTACAGTTTATTTAAGTAAAAATAATTTGGCTGGGAATTCTACAGTTTTTTTTTCTGTAATGCATTACTACTTTACATTAAAAACGTGTGAATATAGATTTTTAGTAAAAATGTAAAATGTTTATTATTAATTAATTATTTTTGTATAGGTTGTTTCGATTTACTTTTGGATGCTGAAAAAGCTAAAGACGGTATAGAAATACCTATGGATAATGGTTATATGGGTATGGGTGGCGGTGGCATGTTCATGGCTGCTGGTACACCTTCTATGTCACCAGCCATGACTCCGTGGGATCAAACATCCACACCAATGTATCAAAATAATTGGTCTTCAAGTACAAAATTTAAAACTATGATAGTCAATAATTAATTAATTATTTAATAGTCAATTATTTCTTTTAGGTTTGGAAACTGGCATGACTCCTGGAGGACCTGGTTTTTCACCAGCAGGATCAAGTGAAGCTAGTGGAACTTCTCCATTCTGGATGTCATCTGGAGGAACTCCGGGCAGTCCTGGATCTCCAGGCATGGCCACTAGTCCCTATGTGCCGAGCCCTAGTTCCATGTCACCAAACTATAATTATCCTTCTAGCCCACAGTTTGGATCTTTATCACCTTCGATGACTCCAACTAATTATTCGCCAACAAGTCCACAATACTCTGCTACACAACAAAATACTCCAAAATACTCTTCAATGTCTCCTAATTACAATTATTCCCCAACAAGCCCATCATACTCGCCAACTAGCCCTTCATACTCTCACACTTCATATTCTCCGACAAGTCCTTCGTATGTATTTTTAAATTGAATTTAGTTTAGGTTAACCTAAATCAACAAATATTAAAAAATTAATTTTCTATGTTTAGCTACAGCCCAACATCTCCTTCATACAGCCCTACGTCTCCGTCTTACAGTCCGACATCTCCATCATATAGCCCAACGTCTCCGTCATATAGCCCAACGTCTCCGTCGTAAGCACAATTTATAATTTAAAATAAAAGAAATATTTACAGATTTTAAACCCTTTACATTTTATATAAACTTGAGGTGAGCTATAATTTTGTTTTTTTATTTTATTTTACAGATACAGCCCTACCAGTCCTTCATACAGCCCTACGTCTCCGTCTTACAGTCCAACATCTCCATCTTACAGTCCAACTTCACCATCGTAAGTTCCTTTAAAGTTGACTTAATTACCTATCATATATTTTATTTAAAAAATGTCTTAATTTATAATCCAACATTGATTATTTTTAATTTATAAAAAAATGTATAATTATTCTAAATAGTTTCTAATTTCTATAGTGCGGCCAACAAAATTATTTGGGTAATTTCTAGCTAGATTGCTAGAACCACCCGCCTAATTTTGTTGGCAACACTATAATGTATTGTTAGTTATTTATATAGTATTATAGTTATAGGGTAGTAAACAAACAATGGCAAACAATTATTTTCTACCTATTATAATTATGAATTCTACTTAAAATTAAATATATTTAAGGTTTATTTTATTTTTTGCTTACCACATAAATTAAAATCTAATAATTGTCTTAAACAGGTACAGCCCTACATCACCATCGTACAGTCCGACATCGCCTTCATACAGTCCAAGCTCTCCACAATATGCAGCATCGTCGCCATCATATACACCTAGTGCTACTTCTGGGACAAGCAATTACAAATATTCGCCCACTTCGCCATCGCTTGCTGTCAGTCCTACATACTCCCCTACCAGTCCAATGTACTCGCCTTCAAATGCTTCTTATTCTCCATCTTCTCTACAACATACACCAAATGCTGGAGGTACACAATACAATCAGTCATACAGTCCTAGTTCACCTGTTTATTCACCTACCAATTTCTCGATGGCAAGTCCAAGGTAAGCCAAATAGTTATAAATAGTTACTTTTAATAAAGCCTGTTTAACTCAAATATTTTATTTTAGGTATTCTCCTACTTCACCAACATATTCACCTGGTGTTGGAAGTCCACATTATTCACCATCATCTCCCAGCTATTCTCCAACGTCTCCAAATTATAGTGGACCAGATGAGTCTTAAGAAAGGAACATTTTTTTTATATTTTATTATTGGACAGAGGGTATACAATATTTAATTTAATGTGAATACAATTTATTTTACTTTTTTAAGTTCAGATATTTTGTTATCTTATTTTTTAATGTATAATTGTTGTATAATTAATGTATAGTTATTGTATAATTATATTTACAATTATTAAATTATTTTTATAATATCTATATTTTTATTATTTGGATATTTGATAAATTTTATTTCAATGAATTAAATTTTTTATTATTCTCATAATTGTTTGAATTTATTATACCTACTATAGTCTGTCCAGTTAGAGAGCGCCTCGCTCACCGATCAAAACTAGTTCTCTATAATATATGCATATATTTATGATTTTATTAATTTTTTTTTTTGTTTTTAACCTGACTGATGAACTATCACACTGTTCTTTGGGGTTTTTGATTACTGGTGCATTATATTTATCCAGAATAATGCTCATAGTTTATTTAAGTATTTAATAAAACAAACAAATACCGATTAACTTGACTACAATGTTAGATTATTTTTTATATAAAAAAATATAACTTATTGAACTGAACTATGCTGACCTGGATTTCAAAAACAAAAAATTGTTCGTACTCGCATCAGGGGTTTCAGAATTGAAATAGTCATCATTGTATGCTTTACACATTTCGAATATAATTTTTGTCAAAAGGTAGGGTGTAGTCATGTTGCACTAAAATCATTAAAATTATTATTGTTACAATAGATGTTTGTTTTTTTTATATATCGGTTTACTGCATTTATAGATATTTTTAATCGTTAGAATCAATTTTTTTCTTGATAGCATTGTTATTAACTTTTTCAAACATTACTCAATATATGTTTTTTAATACAATTATTTAAGTAATGGCTTTAAATAAAACTTGTGTTGGTACACAAAAGAAATGAATGATTTAGTTATGTATAAACTCAGGTTGCCGTGGAAACGGATTTTTGTATACATATTATTACAATCAAGGAAACAATGACAATTCGACGTTTGTGCAAAAAATGGGATGTTTCTGTTGCAAAACCACTGGGGCTACTAAAGAGCCAAAAAAACTGGTGTACTCATGGTAACTATATTTATGTTGAATTGTATAATGTATGTGCTTTGATTCAGGACGCCTGGATATGAATGATTAGGTAGGTATGGACTCTTATTAGATTGGTAATGGACAGTTACCCAATAGCCGACAAAGGGGTATTTTCAAAGAAAAATTGTAGGTGCTGAAGACCCTATTTTTCAGTTAGCCTGTTATGATCATGGATTATATAATAAGTGATTTCACATACCCACGTTCAATAATCATATAATGATGACCTTATACCGTATATTTAAATGTTTTTTTAAAAAATAAGAACTAATCATAGGTGCAACTATAGCTTACATTTTGGGGAAACTAAAAGTACCAAACACAAAGTGCTGAGATTCATTATTTTTCTCTGGGAGGACTATGCTAATATTTGAGGGGCTAAGCCTACAACTGGTTAGTATAATTTATGATCGATTGATTCATTGGGTTCACAGGGTAGAACGAAAACACTTGGACCCTGCGGATTATGTTATGGAAAATTTGAACGGCTGCACGGCGTATAAGTCTCCAGGGTCAATTAGCGGCCAACAATTTGTTGTACGTAATTGTCAGGACTCCAATATTTACTTGCTGGACCATACCGGTTCAGTAACTGTGGATGATTGTCAGAGATGCACAATTGTGCTTGGACCAACTAAACAAAGGTAAAAATAAAAATAAAAACTTGTTAAGAGGTATCCAATGGGAGATTTATCAGACTGAGAAATGTTAATACTTGGTAGTGCCAAGTAAATGCCTGACTGGAATAGTGGGGTGTGACTATGTGAGTAGATATGTATCTACTGGCACTTGTGAGTTCATATTCTTATAACATCACTTTTCTTAATTTGGCAACAAAAAAAAGAAAAAAAAGATAAGATTATTAAGGGGGGGGACGGAGTGGCCGAGCTGACTAAGGGGTCGGTTACAATGCGCACCGTTGCCGGTTCAAACATCGGTCACAGGTGGAACTTCTGTCCGGGCAGACATCTGTCTTGGCAGATACCGACGGGTGCTCAAATCAAAAATTCTGCCAAAACACACACAGACGTGTACACAAATCTACAGTACCACAGGTTAATGACCTTAGTAAAAGAAGCCTTAACCCTGATAAAAAAAAAAGATTTTTACATTTTGAAGTTTTGTTAATAAGATGTAAAAACATGTTATTAGAAGAAGAATATTTGTCTGAAATAACGTCATGATTTATGATAAATATTATGATTTGATCTAAAAATGGTTAACCAATATCGTTTATACTTATAATTTATTATTGCCGTTTAATTTTAAAGGTTAGATTAAAAATAGGGCTGCACAAATCCTCCACCCATATTGCAAACAAAAATTATAATTCTCTAAACAAGTTGTTCAATACCTATATATTACTTTCCTATAAGTAATTTAACAAGTTTCAGCAAAATTTTAACTCAATGATATAAAATCATTGTATCTACGCAAAAACAATTCTGGGAAAAAACAGTCTGTCTGCCTATATTAATAATCAGCAATAATTACTTATATTATATTATATTTTTATGATAATATTGCCATTAAAGTAATTTATTTTACCATTAGTAATACAGTAGTAGGTTGAATATTAATTTTTTCCAAAATCATTGCACTTGAAAACGTCATTGTGTGTATAAAATATAATAATTTATAAACTTAATACCCACGAATAATGTTTTTTAATTTCAACAAAAAAAACTCAAATTATTATTCTTCATTTATATATCTAAATATCTAAGTTTGTCAAAATTTAAACTTAAAATATCTATAAAAAAAAAACTGTTCAAATATTTTTTAGAATTTTTGTTTACAGTAGGTATCAACAATTTATAAGTAACCTTGCTTGTAATGTTCAATCCTTAGCTATAAGAATTGTTTGCATATTTTAGGGAAATTTTGGTCATTGACATCTGAGCTTTATGAAGTTATAAAGAATATTGTATTACATTTACAAACTTTTTAATCCAACAAAATTGTCAAATGTTTATAAATACCTCAAAAAGGATCAGTATATATTGAAAATTATACAGTCTAAAAAATTATAATCTGAACTTTTGGTGAAAATTTCTACAATCTAGGGTTATTTATTTTTGAGTTACACCAAAAAAACCAAATTACCTACTAAAACTGATTTTTTTCATTGTATTCGATTATTATTATTCAGCGTTTTCGTGAGGGATACAATCAATTCAACAGTGGTAGTTGCCTGTGGTCAGTTTAGAGTTCGTGATTGCGCATCCTTAAAGATTTCATTGTTTTGTTCTACTCAGCCGGTGATAGAGTCCAGTCGAGAATTGCAATTCAGTTGTTACCAGTTTTATTACAACCAGTTGGCTGGTAGGTATTTCTTGGCTAATGTACATCATTTAAAATAGAACAGGAAGAAAATAAATACTATATCATCAATATGACATCGTCATCGGTCATTCATATCTGTGGTAAACCAATATAATAACTATTATAAAAAGTGTTTTTGCCCTTCAATTAGATCAATTTGTCAAAGCCGATCTTAATATATGGAATAACAATTGGAGAACCGTATACGATTATACATGGAACGAAGGTGACAACTGGGTGGTAAATGAAGAGCCCATAGTTGTCCAGTTATCTGAAGAATTACACAAGTAAGTATATAGTTAACAGAATGACAGATCTCAAAAGATTTCGAATCAAATGTAAATTGGTTTTTTTCATACCTACCCTACATTTTATACAAGTATGTTTAAAATCTTGTTGGATTCGGCTATACCTAACTTTAACAGTTCTTAAACTTAATTTAATTGTATTAAAATGAGAATTCTTTTTTATTCCGTACCAATGTGGTCTAAAAATGTAAAAAATGTTTGTTTGTGCCTAAGACTTATGTGGGTGTATTGTTTCTTAGGTATGGAATTACAAATGAATCTGAAAAATCAATTGTGCCTCTCACCAAATATAATCAACAGTCTGGAGAAAATTGCTTTGTTGCTTTTGCATGTGGAACTGAAGCTTCAAGATTTGTACAAGCTTTACAATCACATGTAATATAAATTATAATTATATACCATTTACAGTATATATTCAGCAGTGGCGACTCGTGCTATGGTGCACAGGAGCATGTGAACCACCCAAAAAAATTATATAAAAAATATTAGATCCCTATAGTAAATTATAATAAAAAAGAAGTTTTTCAGCATTTTGTGTTGAGAAGTGTGTCTATTAACGATTAAATAATTCGCAGAGCACAGATTTTTGGGCTTCTGGCGGCCATATAAATATTAGCTACATGCTTCAACATGTCAGTTAGTAATACATTTAATGTGTGCACCGGAAATATATTTATTGTGCCGTGATGTCGCTTAAATTGTTGAAACGATAACACACCACTGTACATAGGCCATTAATTGCCGGTTTAGATAAGTACATGATTTAATATTGACCTATAACAAAGTTAATGTTTTTTTTACCATCTTACATAGATAGGTATCTTATAAATAATGAGTACATTTTTTGTGCACCACCTTGTGTGAACTTTGAGAGCCACCACTGATGTTCAGACTAACAACTATAATAGAAGGATACATTAAAAATTATATTACCTATTACCAGTGGCGTGGTGAATGGGGTTTTATGACGCCTAGGCGTCATGGTGAATTTTTTTTTTTTGGGGTGGGGTGGTTGGGTACATCATGGTAACCAATAACATCAACAAAAATTAAAATATTTACAGTTCCATAATAATTATATGTATTATATATTATATTAAGGGGATAAAGAAGGGGTAGGTACTGAAATATATGCTGGGCATCAAGGTTTATAAATGTTCACCACGCCACTGCCTATTACCATATTGCTTATGGTAACAATATTTATGTTATAAATTATAATAAACTAAAAATATTATATATAATGACTTAGTAGCTAAACAATACATTACAATACATAGTAAGTTTTGATTGAGCACCTACCGCTGATAGTATTTATTTTATCCTAACTTAACTTATTATCTATACTTAAATGTCTACAGCCTATAAACCACTTAGGTGTGGCCTTAACAAATTCCTAAGAAATATTTTAATAAAAGTGACTGTTGTTTTACAGGAGACAGATTTATTGCTAATAAAATGCAATTATAGTGATGGCAAAGACGCAAAAGTGTTCCAAGAACGAGCCAAAATATTTGGGAATAAAAAAGTTGAAACCATTATTGGACTACAAATACAGGGGCCACATGCTATAAGCAAATGTACAGCGGTAAGGTCCACTATAATAAAGTACAGGAGTATGCATTGCCCTCTAACAACTGATCGTCCTAAACCTTACACTGAATGAAATACAATATCTAGGCACGGTACAATTTTAATTTTATTTATCTCAATTTTATTTTTTTTAATAGATTTTAGCTAATGATTTTCCTCAGTTTATAACAATGATCAGTAAAACGGACACTGAAGCCAAAGAACAAATTAAGGTGTTTTTCCACATATTTGAGAGTGAATTTCAACCGTAATGGTAAAATAGTTTTAAAATGAATTTGATTTAATTCTTATAAAATTATTCCATTGTCTTAATGTAATTTAAACATTATTTAAAAACAACATTGTAAGTTTTATTTTCAGAAATTGTTTAATAGCAAATTTTAAATGAATGAAAAATTATTATTTAAACATAATGATAAATGCATTACCTATATAAAACAATGTAAATCATAGTTCATTCAATACTAATTTTCAATATATTTAAATTTTGTAGACTTAATATGTTTTAAAAAAATTATTTTATTTGGTACTATATTGTACTATTTCAAGTAGAAAACTTTTCAGATTCAATTTTGTTGTGTGTTGTACCAATCTGTTATAATATTCTAAAATTAAAATGAAGCTATTGTTCAGTATGCTCCTCAATTATAAAGAGGAAGTTAGTGCACTGTTTGTTTTCTCTTTGGTCCAGTGGCATAGCCAGGGGGGCTAAGGGTGCTATAGACCCCCCCCCCATTGACTGTGTTGACCTTAGAATTTTATCAAGATTAATAAAAAAATAAAAAGTGTAAATAAAAGACATAATATTGTAATAGTTTTACAATGGTGTTAATTTTTTTTATTTTGTATACAACATTTCTACCAGAAGGAATGCTTCGATTTCAACATATAGTATCTCATTTTTTAGAAAATTGGATCAAGATGGTACTTTAAAAAGGTAATTTTTCGATAGGATTTTTCTCAATAGGTAGTTATTTAATACCACGGGAAAAACCACCGATAAATTACAAAAAACCTCTAAAAATTGGATTTTAATTTCTAACACTTTGATCATCACCATGAAAACAACTAAAAATAACAATTTTATCTATTTAGTTGTAATTTATAATATTGATTCAACATACAGGCCTATACTAAATTTTAATAACAATATTTAATTTATTTTTTGTATAATTTGCATACAATGATATGATATCATTGAATTCAAATTTAATACAATCAATTATAAAATGACCCACATGTAACCTACTGTACAGCAGAGCGACTTCCATTTACCCGCTTTTTTCCTATTTTTTGTGATACTTAGCCCATACAAAATTCCTGGCTACGCCACTGCTCTGGCCCACACAATATAGACAAAACACATTCATGCAATCATTTTTTTTGTTATGTTTTTGAGGGTATTCACTATTCAAAATATAAAGTTGTCTAAATATTGTCTCAAAACAATTTATATCCAATTAAATGTATAGTTTTTTTTATTTTATCAATCCAATTTGGTCAAATAATAATAAAATTTAAAACTGATCAAACCTCAAAAATATTACTAAATAATTTTTGTATTAGATGATTTTACATATTAAATCATGAAAAACAATTTTACATGAATGCGTTTTATCTATATTGCGCATGGCTGCATGAATCTGAGTGAAAACAAATATTGCACCAACTCTAATGGAAGATTTGTTTGGAAAAAGATTGTTAGGTAAACTACTCTTACAATGAGAAGACCTTGGCAAAAAAGATATTAAAATATTGAAACCAAGTACACAATGGAGATAATTTGCAGAGAACAAGGAAATATGGCTGCAGATTTGCCTGAAGGACTGGTTTTAAAAGCCTAAAAACCACAAGGATATTCAAAATGGCAATTCAATTGCATATTGAAGGAGAGTCATATATTAATGCCAATATTATTTATTTTGCCAATCCTCTGAATAAATTTAACTAGACTATGTGTTATTACTATTGCAGCATAAAATTAAAATAAACCAGTAAAAGAGTTGATATTAAATAATTCAGTATAATTAATTTTAACAAGGCAGACAAAAATAATACATAATTTGTTTATAAGCACATAAATAAATTCAATATCAATTGACATAAGAGGATCTCACACCCACAAGTGTTGTCTCTGTCTTGCAAATGTACAACATAGCAAATTTTCTGTAATTTTTAAAATTAGAGTGAATTGACCTATTATAAAATTTAAAAGTAAGATTATTATACGAGGCATCTAGAAGGCTTTTATTGATATCTTAATTAAAAAGTAAGTTATGAGCTTTTTAAAACTCTTTTGTTTTTGTAAATTTTAAAATTTACAAAAAGACTTAGATATTAATTTATTTTTTAAATTGTAAGGTATTTATCAATTCCCCTAATTTTAGATATAACAGAGTAAAATGAATTATTGTGAAACTAAAACTTAGTATACTGTACGATTATAAGACAGAGATAACTCTAGGGTGTTGCATACTCTTAGTTGTATGATGTTACCGTTAGAAATCTATAGAATTAATAATAGACATTTTTATTTGTGATGACAGTATTTAAATATTTTACGTTTATAAAGATAGTTGTTCAGAAATGACAGTTAAAATTATTTCAAATATAAATAATAACAATTATATTGTAAATTAAAAAAGGCAATAACAAAACTAAAACAAGTTAACCCGTGAAATAGGAATGTATATTTAAAGGAATGAATGGTAAAACGCAAAGATCAAGAGAAAACAAAATGCTGCCATTACACCAAAGAGTATGATTTTGTGTTGTCTGGAACGAACAATTATGGCATTTATCATTCGGGTGCTTCTACCAAGGTCTGCATTTGCATCTCTGAGCTGCAACAATATAAATCACGTATGAAAAACATAAGTTTAAGCTAGGTACTTAAAGTCAAACATAAAGTGATGAACTAAGTTACCCTATTAAAAGAGTTATGCATAGTTTCTCGTTGGCGATTTAAATCCGTCAATATTTGTGAACCAATTTCTTCAGTCTCAACGGCAATACGATAAGTATTATCCAATTGTATTCCTGATTGGTTTAGTCGTTCAGACGTATATAATAGTCTCTGTTTTTGTTCTGAAGTCACATCTTCACTTTCAGCAAAATGATTATCATCTTCTGTAGTATTTAATTTAAATAAACAATTATTATGAGTCTACAACAAATATTGTGCAGTGCCTACCTATTTACTATGTAATATACCTAAATCAATGTTGACCGTACATTTTGCTCGGGCAAACTCCTTGGCTAATCTGTGGAGTTCAGCCCTGTAACTAGCTACTCGATTGTGCAGTTTGGCGCGTACAGACACATCAGATTCTTTGACCGACAGGTCCATTTGTTCCAACTTGAAAAATATTGAATATCCAAGTAAAAATACCATAATATTATTTTTTTTTCATTTGTACTAACCAAATCATGTACCTCGTCGAGGTTTCGTTCGATTTCTTTGATGTAGTCATTTCTATCGTCTGTGTAGGTATATAAAAAAAGAATTGTTTAAGACCCCACCTCTGAAAGTTCATGTGTTAATTATTACTCACTGCTAGCTATATGGCCAAGTCTGCTGATTTTCGATGTGATCTCAGCACTGGTCACACCAAACTGCTGTTCGTAGTCGGCTAATAATTTGCTGTAAAGGAATAAAATATTGCAGGTTGCATTAAAAAGGAAAAAATTAAATTACGGTTTGCACTGGCAGTTCGGGTGTAATTACTTTTCCATCTGCAAACATCAACAAATTCGACCTAAATCAAAGACATCGCTGCCCAGGAAGTCGAGGAGACGGGAACGAGTGAATGAAAATATGAAATACTTCGGACCGCCACCGCAGCAGGTGGTCTGAAGTTTCGTAAAGCAAAATTTGAAATCACTCAATAAGTCAATAATGCTCGCTACTGCTGGTAATTACAATGGTGTTCATCAGAGTTTAGACTTTGGATAAGATTAGTACGATTGTATCATGGTTGTTACTTGTTATACACTTATAGTTTGTAATTACTTTGTATGGCTGTAATCTGTAATGTAGTGTTGAAGTTGTCATTCAATATTGTACTTTCGAACTTTTTTCCTTATCACATTGTAATCAATATAAGTGACGTCATCAAACATACCACGTCGTATCACCAAGTATCACAGAACAAAATAGAAGCGAATAAGCGATACGAATCAGCAATCAGCAGCGCCAGCCTGCCATCATGTTGTATGCGATCTACCGAAAATTCAAAACTTAAATTAATTTATGTTGCCTACTTGCCTATATTAATTGCCTTATAACTTACTAATTATAATGTCACTATACCACAGAATGACACAGATCCTACTTCTAATATTTTATTTATCCAAATATAAAATAAATAGGTACTCCAATATTTTAAAATGGATTCGTGTTTGGGTTGGGCATAATAGAAGTAGGTACTTAATCTATTAATATAATTACTTCTATCATGGGGTTGGGTACAACTTTTTTGAAAACCAATTTTCCTAACGTTTTGTTTATTGCCATAAAACCACAAATCAAAAATAAAATTTAATTTAATTCCCAGCATGCTACTTGGTATTTTCCACCGAACTTTGCCCAAAAACATATTTATGATTTTTCAATTCTCATTGGAGAGTAAAAATATCTAGTAACATGCTACTTACAATATACAAGAACGACAATTTATTAGCCAAAAAAATTAATTCGGTTTGGAGCTGAAAATTGTAGTTCAAATTTAGTATTTTTCTATATTTATAAATTATAACAAAACAAACACTTTTTTTTTTCCAAAAACATTTATATAATACCTCAGTAGTATATTATTATATAAGTACGACGGTTAGAAAGCTTAGAAAGTCTTAAGCAGTTTATTTAAATTATTTTTCCAAATGTATATGGGGCATGAGGCCCTACTCAGTTGGGGCCCGGGATGCGATTGCATCCATTGCCAGCCCGCCACTGCATGGACGTAATTTATGCATACTCAGATTTTCATAACGATAATTTGTGAACGCAGTTCGATAAAAATCTAAGACTTTATAAATTAAACTATAATATTGTATAATAATTTATTATCTGGTTGAATTGTTTAAATATCAAAATATAACACGATATTATAATGTTATTTATTTACATCACTACGGTTTACTAATAAACAGAGTACTCACAATAAAATATTATTTTGTTGCACGGGTTGAACTCTATTTGCTGTAAAAATATGTTTTTTTCGAAAGAATTTTTGATAGGAATTTCCTTTGCTTCCATCGGTATAGCAGGAGTGTCTTTCCTATTGTCGAGGAGAAAAAAACCAACTACCCATGGATATGGAATGAAAAATATGGAAGACTTCTTGGAGGTAAACAAAATATAATACATAATATCATGTAGGTTTATATTATAACAATAAACGTTTAAATTCTATAATATTTGTCAATTTTAGTATAACCAACATATTAATTAGTTTCGGAGCAAAAACTTTGTGTGACTAGAGTGCATACCTGCAGGTTCTTGCTCTGAAATGTAATAACCTGATAAGTCCATTTTGCTTATATTATCTCCGTAACTAATAATCGGACATAACGGTTTGTTACACCGAAATGTGTAGTTTATTTCCTGATCAGGAAACCACAGTAAAAATACTTTTTTGAAAAAGAGACATATCAGGTTTTTCACAGAAGGATTCCATACTTTTTAGCTTAGATAGGTATAGCCAGGTACAAATATTTACCATAAGTACCAATTTACACTTATGAGTTTGTAAATTTAAGTATTAGTAACAGTTGAAATTCACTAACTTTTAACTTGCACATTTAATTATTAATCTGTAACTATAATAAGTAATATGAAATAATTACAAGTCACATAGTATATTATGTTGGTAAATTGCAACCCATATTAATTAAACAGCCAACAGCCACCTCACTCCAACAAGCGGCTGAACTGCTGGAGTGCAGCCAACAGCTGCTGAGGGCGGTCACCCTCGAGGAGGGCACAACCGTCACCACGGCGGCCAGAGTTAGACGGATGACAACGGCGCAACTACAGCGAGATCCGGTACTGTGGGCCGCCCACACGCGCGGATGGGAGGACTGCGCGGCCGTATTTGTAAGGGCAACGAGCGGCGAACCCACAACCGCAGTGCGGCACAATAGGTCACGCAGCCCCAGACGGGTGACCCGACCATCTTCCAACCCACGACCGGCACCACCACTGCCGATAACAAGGGCACCAGAGCGACCGCCACCACGACCGCTGATGGAGAGGCCTGTACCAGCGCCAAGGACAGCGACCAGGCCACCACCACCAACCACCTTCAACCCGCCGCCACCGCCGACACCAAGGGCCACTGCATCAACACCACCTGCAGCCACGCTGAACTCCCGCCAACGCCGGAACCTGAAGCGGATGCGGGACTACAAGGCCAAAATACAACAGGCGTCCCAGCAACACCGCCTAGAAAAACCGGCACCACCCGTAACCCCAGCCCCAGAGACGGTGCTATCACAGCCAGGGCCTGCGACCCCGCACCTCACCGTGGTCACGGTGCCGGAAGTGACACACACTTCCGGATCGACCGGAACCACGGAACACCTAGTGGCCGCCACCCCTCAAACCGAGGATATGGATATATCCCCGGAGGAGGAGCTGGCGCAACTGTTAGGAGGTACGGACGCACACCTGGCTGATGGTGAAGACATGGACGTCAGCCTTCTGTACTTTAGCCCCCCCACATCGCCCAAACACGACTAGACACCGCCAGGGCCACGTCCGCTGAACACAGCCGGAAAACGTGCCCTCGGACAGGTGTCTACTCCAACCACCCTCCACTCATGACCCTCCACAACCACCCTCCACCCTTCACAAACCACAACACCGGCAACGGCCGGAACACCAACGCCGTTGGCGGTTTGGGGGGGGGGGGGAGTATGACGCGGCCCCGCGTAAAAGCTGTTTGAATTCAAACAGCCTTTGCGCGGAAGCCGCGCCGTGGCTTCTCAATCAAACCGCCAATCGACGACGGACGACGCCGGCGCGCGACACCGGTCTGTCAAGACGCTCGCTCTCGTTCTCCTGACATCGACCTGGACACACCTCAGGAATCCACACACGTCCCGTGTAATCGGAACCGTTGTATTCTCAATACCATATTGAATGTTCGTTTATTTCGTTTACAATAAAGTCAAAAGTCACACCAGTGCGCCGTTTTGTTGTTTTTCTCTTTTTTTTATACTTTCACGGCAAACAAAATTTTCATGATCTCCACGAACATATTATTATGGTATAAGCATTATAATAAAATATTTAAATATATACGCACATTTTACTATGCCCCTAAAAAGTTTCAGGTCGAGCCTGGGCTTGACCGGCTCGCCCCATGGGCACGCCTATGGATCTAAGTTCTGCTCTTAAGAATTCCTACATCCGCAGCAATCGTACATAGTCGACTGGTTCTAACCTAAAGTAATTTAAGTTAAATGAGCACTTAAAATTACGCTTATGTTCTAAATAAATAAGTATGATTAAGATATAAAAATAATTAAATAATATTAATACGTGTCTAAAATTATAGCTACGCTATTATACGACGATAGTCACAGAGTCTCGTATTGTAATTTAAAAAAAACAAGGTGAATACGTTGAGTAATATGGGATAATTAATTGGATGGTCATACCGAATGCTGGAATAACTCAATATACATATACATACAAACGCACCCGCTTTGAATGGCAAAAATATTGTCGAAGTGCATACTGATGGTGTATTAGTATAATACCATTGTTTACAAATACCAGTATTTATAATACATTCGTCATTCATAATATATTATATAATACATATTGGAAATAATAAAAACATCTAAATTATGATTTTATATAGATAGCCAGCTGGTTTTTTTTCTAAACATGCGATAATCATACTTTGTAGTACAGCCCCATTAAATATCGAATGCAATATATCAATGGGTTATGGCCTTATGGGTCTCAGGAAAATCTCTTTATTTAAGTTGACGGTTTACAACTAACTATTGACTTCGTCGGCCGTCGGGTTGTCACTTTTATTATTTTATTCATAAACATATTATTGACTAATTAGATGTATACATTTTTGTAAAATTCACATCATCGGCCGCCTCAAAACAAAAGTAGTCGGTTTTATGTAACGTCGACCGAAAACAAACGTTTTTCTCTTTGTGTTCGCGAATCGCTGCATCATTTTTGCATATTACTGCATTCAATATTGTCACTTAACACTGGTTTGCAATTAATATGTTGTAATGTTTAATTTGGATTTTTCTCAAATACTAAAACTATTACTGCTTATTATTATTGTACAGCAGTCGTGATTACCAAACCCTTATTGTCACCATTAATTTCATAGTTTTAAGATGATTTATGATACGATAAATTTTTATAATACAAAATCATAATTTAAATAGTTAAAAATATTCTTAAGAGAATATAGGTATTAGGTGTAGTATATACTATATAATATACATTTTATAAGCAATTTTCAATTAATAATTCTTTAATTATTACATTTTAGCTTAATTCAAATTCAAATCACTATGGCTAAACGCATTACAGACTTTTTTAGAGTATCCTCAAAAAAACAAAAATCATCTAATCCTGAATATTATATTTTACCTCAAAATTTACCAGCTGAAACTTCAAATTCTAATACTTCTTTTACTATAAATCAAGTAGAACCAGTAGAAGGTATAGTTGATTGTCCTCCACTCCTCCATCGAGTTCATCATCTTCATTTTCTACAATTGAGCCCATCGAGGTACCACTTCATGTTTCTAATTCGAACAGCGTTAATTCAGAATAATCAAGTGATTATATTATAAACATATTAGATTATTTAATTTAATATTTATTTATATATAATATTAATTATCTTCTTTTAAATAAATTATGACTTTTTTATAACTTTTACCTACCTACCATTTACTTCTAGCATTAAGATTTATTTTTAATAATTATGAGGGGTAAACATGAATTTATTACCTACTATAATTGACTATCTATTTTGAGTAAACATTGTTCTGTTCTCCCAGTAAAAAATCCTTAAAAAATGCACTGTGTTGTAGTGTTGCAGTGTGCACACAATCGATGTACACGAGTGTATCGAGTGTAAAAATTAAAAAAAAGTCGAAACACGCAACCCGCGTTATAATGGAATTGATATTGTGCATATTCGTTTTGTGCACATAACCAAATAAATTGTTTTCAGTGAATTATTTTCGACGTCTCCGCGCCGTTGCGAGTCGGCATAGGCATTATAATTTATTTTTATTCTCATTCGTTTATTATATTTCCGATTATAGTCGATCATTATCGGAAATTCAACACAACAATCGTTTTTCTGTTTAAAAATATAAACAAAATAAAAGCTAATTGAAACTACGTAAAAAAATATTTTCATAAAAATTTACACTTTTTTAAATAATGAGTGTTGTTTGATAAAAGAATCACTCAGTATCTATATATGTTATATATAATATTGGTTCTATTTTTTTTTTGATGTGCACTACTTCATTAAAAACCCACAAGCTGCCCCTGCCATGGGCAATATAAACCATTTATAAAAAAAACAACTAATTTCTACCAATTATTTCTACTATTATTACATTGTAAAAACGTTATGTTTAAAAATACTATTATAGTTAAATGAAAAGACATGTTTGGTTTGAAATTATTAAAAATGTCTCTAACATTTCACTCGAAATGAAGTATTACCGTGTTATGAAAACATTATGTCATCATATAATTATTGTTGTAATGATTAAAAATTAAATTAGTACCTATTTCAGGGATCCTGTGTGATGGGGTACAGTACCTGACGTCTAACACTCGATTGTCATTTGTAGGCGAAATTTCCGAAAAATGACACCGTTTCCAATATTTTATTCGTTTGTATTGTGTCATTCGTCAATCGTGTTATACATATGCTTGAAGTTGGCTTCCCGACATCGTCCGATCGACCGCGGACCAATGCCAATATTTTGTAACTAATTTCAAACACATTTTTAAGAATTTCAAACTCCTTACTTTGGACTAAAAAAAAATGGCAATCTCTCACTCCGGGGGTTTTTAAAAATAGTAATTTTTACCAAATATTTTTTTATTTTTAATTGGGTACTATTTTTAGTAATTATATATTTATAGTAATTGTACCTATTTAATAATTATTTTCAATAATTAATTTAATCTCACCAGTTTTTGGAACTTCTTAATTTCACCGCATTTAGCTTTTTTAAAAACTATGTTAGGTAGGTACTTATTAGTTTTTACTAGTTAGAACTGCTATACCTAATATAATTATTACTTATATGCTATTATAGCAGGGGCGTCTTCAGGTCAATTATATGGGGGGTCGAAAAAATGTTAGTCTTGAATACTGCTTTTAACAATTAACAAAATGTATAAAATTTGTTCATCTATCAGCAAAAAACAGAACATCTCATGACTTATTAAGATGCGTTTTCCCCCCTCTCCATAGGCCCCCCTGTGGAACCTGGATTTTTTTTTTAATATATACATAAATATCTATGTTATACTAGATATAGCGAACATTTTACATAAAAAAAGAGAAGCCAATTTTAATCTCATAGTATAGATATCTGTAAATAAATGTAATAATTCAGTTATTATTGACCAAATGATTTATTATTATATCAGAATACTCTATACTATCCACTATATTAGCTATTGGACTATTTTTTTTATCACAGTGTATTTATCTATCAACTAGGTACTTAATTTATATATTTACGTTATTTCACGGTTGTACCTTATTGTAGATATAATATTATATACCACATAGGTTAGTTAAAATAGTAATTACAGATAACGAATATTTTAGACCTAAAAAAATAGAATATGTAACTACATCCAAATTTGAACTTACAATAACTATAAAAAAAAAAAGGGTAAGTGGATGTTGCTCTGCTGTACAGTAGGTTACAAGTGGGTCAATGTAGAATGGATTGTATTAAACTTGAATTCAAAGGTGTAATATCATTGTATAAGAAAAACGATTCTGAGAGGAGACGGTTTGTCAGTCTGGATTTTTTATATTGTTATTATTTAATATTTAGTATAGCCTGTTAGTTGAATTAATATTATAATTTATATTCGTTGCTATGGTGTTAACCAAAGAGTTAGAAATTAAAATCCCATTTTTAGCGGTTTTTCGTAATTTGTCGGTAGTTTTTCCTTTGGCATTAAATAACTATTGAGAAAATCCAAATATAACCTCATCAAAGTACCATCTTGATACAATTTTCTAAAAGATAAGATACTATATGCTTAAATCGAAGCACTCCTTCTGGTAGAAATTTTGTATAAAGGATAAAAAAAAAATAAATAAATAAACACCATTTATTGGTTGGTGAAAATAATAGCTATTGTAATTTATACCAACATTTAAAATTTGTGTCATACCCTTTAACAGTTTAACGATTATGTAAACAAAATTTTATTTTGCTGATTTTGAAATATTTTAGAATTTTAGCATTTGCAGGCCATATATTTTAAGATTTTGCACACTTTTGAGCATATTTAAGATTTTTAAGACATTTTCAACTTAAAAAATCAAGAATCACAAAATAATTATTTAAGATTTATGAATATCAGCATTCGGCGGGCTGTAAACCATACAGATTTGTTTGTTTTTCAGATTATGAGAGATTCAGTCACTCAAATACCACAACCTTTACCAATAATTCAAATCATTTGCAATAAATAATATTTAAAATATAAATAATCGTTTAATTTAAAATAAAATATTAAAAATTACTAATTTTTTATTTTTGCGAATGATCTGTGAACATTAAAAAAAAAAAAATACAGATCATACGTCATACATTTAAGGCGGAAGACTCGTCGCCATAAAAATTTACCAAATATGCATTTGAATACCCAAAATATGCATTTTAAAAATAAAATTTAATACTGGCAATAATATGACATCACATTGTAAACGATCATCTATCTATTAATAAAATTAATATACGGCAAATTAATCTTACTGTCTTATCTATTTCCAAGCGTTTCTAGGAAAAACGTGAGCTCTCAAACCATATTATTGGTCCAAAGTTAAAAATATTTATGTTTTGGTTGAATTATTTAAAATAAAAACTTCAGTGGAGTAAAAATTAATAAAATTATTAACTAAATTAAAATATAGGTACCACCAAAAAGTATAAAATGTTAGAAATATGCCCTAAAAACCAAAAAAAACTCAAAATATGCATTTATATACAAGATAAAATTTCAAAACCAGCTTTGTGAAAGCTTAAAACGTATTTGTTTCGTATTCTGCTATTTTTATAACCGTGCAAAAAAAATATGCAAATGCTACAAGTCCCCTTCCCTAGACTCATTAAAATATAACGCTATGTCATAACGCGTAGAATAATTTCGTAAATATAATATTACATCATAAAATATTATAATATTTCGACAAAAATAATAATAATAATAAACCCCAAAATAATGTTTTAAAATTAAAATAATAATTTTCAAGTGCGATCGCGAGAATATACGCCACACCGCGGATCCTGAAGTGCCAGGCTTAATGCGATACGATCCGCGTATATATATAAATGTATTATATACGTATTGAAACCGAAACAGATGGCGCGTGCTTGCAAAGACAGCAGATTGCGTTTGAAAAATGGCCATCAACTACCCGAAAACTTTAACGGGGTAAATTTCTAGGACGAGTGGAGGTAAAATGGAAGTGGCGAGCTGTGCTACAAGCGGTACGGGGATAGGCTAGGCACTCGGCCGTGCACTAAGGATTCTATATTACAAAGCAAGATGATGCGTGAGGGGGACAAGACGAGTTACGTCCGTCGCTATCCCCTACTCACTGCAGCTTCATTGATGCCGAGAGAGAGAGAGAGAGAGAGAGAGAGAGAGAGAGAGCTCAGTGATGGAAAACCGCCGATTTATCATAGATAATGTTTTTGAGGGGTCGATAAACGCGTTTGAATCAAACGATAACTATCTATTTTAAAACCTATTATTTAAATTGTTTTTTTTTTTGGTTTTATTAAAATCATATGAAAAAATGTTGGATACTATTTTAAATGTATAATACCAACGGTTAGGTATAATATATTTCGGTGCCATACAGTTATGGAGGTGATTTATGACAATTATATGTAAATATAAAACTTATTTAAAAATAAAACAAAATGTATTAAAATACTGAAATATTTCACACATTTGAAATATTTAATTTTTTTAAATTTCATGAAATTTTCAAACTCTAGATATTTAGTGTTGACGCGTTTAAAAGTACCTACCTTGTAATAAATAAAATACTATTTAAAATAAAAACCAATTAAGTATAACATTACAAATCGTTTATCTATGCAAATCAACAAAAACATTTTTTTATAATTTTGGCGGTAAGGTAAGCGTACTTTCTTCAAATTTCAGATACCGTGTACCGCAAGTGAACGGCTGTCGTCTGGCCGCAGCCAAGTATACCACTGGGTCTATTACGTCATGAGTCCTGACATATCGTGTTTTTTATTTTCCAACTATATTTTGTATGTATGTATTGTATGTATATTATTGTACTATATATTCTATAGACTATAATATTTATTATGAACGGTAATTATACAACTGTATCACGTCGTCTAGGCATATGAATCATCTTTTCTGGCGTGTGGCATTCAGAATTCAGATTTTCGGATCTAGGATACTGCGTCCATGTATTGTTTGAAACGTCTTGCCAAACGCATATGATTATGTACATCATATATTTTATACATTTTACATTGGGTGATACATAATAATATTATAGGCTTGACGCCATAAAGAATAATTAACTTGTACATATAAAAAACTATTTCTAACAATTTATTTACAACAATATAACAGTACATTATGTACTTTTATAATATTTATTATGTTCTAAAACTATATTTTGTATATCATTAGTCATATTATGTTTTTGTATCCCCTCGTTTATTATTACAATATTATAATATATAACCAAATGTATAATGTATAAAATATTTTATTGTAAATTGTTAGAAATAACAAATATGTTTTTGTATCCACTTATTAACTACTCTGTAGTCAAACCTTCAATGTTATTGTGTATCTCCTAATGAAAAATGTACACAAATATATTATGTACTGTACATATTATATTTGATTGAATGTTTGACTACAGAGTAGGCATTGCCTCGACATCCGGCACGGGATAGAATTTTGCGGGCCTCAGTTCCGGAAAAATGCTCATGATTTCTTCCCTCTCAGTGGAAAGTGACTGGTATTGGTTTGCGTTCATGATAACAAACGATACAAAATTCGATATGGCAGGAATATACGATATTGAACGGTATGTCGGTATCAAATGAACGACGGCAGTGGTATGAATGAAAGAATTCAACAATCACAGATTGTGTATTTTAATCAAATCTAAAGCCACGGGATTACTGTTGATTTTTAATAGGCCAGTATAAATATTATCTTTTAATATGCACTCGTTTCAAATACGTGCAAACACGTGTTTGCAGCCCCAAATAAGAAAATAATAGATAAGCAACTCGCCTGGTTTATTGGTTCTGCGATTTTAGCGCTATAGCGACGACACACACACACACACACACACACACACTCAAGCAGTCACATATACATGACTTACGCCTGACGCTCGATTCCCCAAGAAGGTCGTACTACAAACCAATAGCATAGATGTTTACACATCAAAAAAACTGTTAACATATTTGTTTAGATTTTTTGGTTACAGAATGAACTACTTACGTGGAGCTTATTGTTTTAAAATTCAATATTTAAAGCTATAAAAATAAATTCAAAATTTGATACATTTTGTCAACATTTGAAATTTAAAATCCTATAAAAATGGATGGAAAACGTTTTTGATTATTACTTTTTTAAAAACTTTATTTTTCCATATTGTTTTTTTGATTAACGTTTTTAAAAACGTTATTTTCCTATTGTTTCCAAATAACGTTTTTGATAATATTGTTTTTTTTCATCTATATAATATATTCTTATAACTTATTAATTTTTAACTTTTAAGTTATAATAGTAACGCTCAATATAGAAATGCACTTAAAAATTACAAATTAAAATTAATTATTCTTAATATTTAAATTTCAGGATACGTTTGGAATAATTTCTTCGGTATTTGAAGTGATGAGAAAACCAATGTTACTTGAACCCGAAAATGTAATAATTATTAATATTATCTTAACCTGTGTATTGTTACATAATTTTTTAAGAAGAAGTAAAAGTTCCTCTTCAAAAATTCACCAAATGGGATATTTGATACCAAATATGAGAAAGGGTAGATATATTATTCCTAGCTGGTACGTAGCGACAAGAACAAAGTAGCATGGCATTTTTACTACTTATTCGTAACGATTTGCTTAAAAAATAACCCCGGAAAAAATAACCCTGAAAAAAAGAACCCCGCGAAAATTAACCCCGCGAAAAAATAACCACGGAAAAAATAACCCTATAGTAAAAATTTATTTATTCGACGTATTGTTCCACTCACGTAGGTTTCGTCAAAATATTGAAATAACTCCTCGGCACCAAGAGGAATAATCAATTTTAAATATTCAACACCTTCTTGTAACCTATTTAGTAACACCTCTAGGAGTTTGACACATATAAAATAATGATGACATTTCTCCATATTTTACCAGGCAAATTAAAGGAGAATTATTAAGCACAACAATTAAGGACCTCGCTTTGTTTATAATTAAAAATGGTTTCTGTAATCCATACTGTGATTTTCTTAAATTTGTCAATTACAAAACCAGAAAAAAAAATCTTCTTCGAGTGAAAATATTATTTAATACTACCAAATATATGAATTAGTTTAGTTTATAAGTATATTACTTAATTATTTTAATGATGTGTATACATATTTAAAATATATTTCATGTAAATAAATTGCTATTGTAATATTATAACTTATAAGTTATAAGTATTAATATTTTTATTTGTTTTGATGAATATTGAATATAATATTATTGAAGTTATGTCGCATTAAGATTTAACACATTATTTACATAATTTTATATTTAATAGTATACAATTTTATAGGTAGGTACTCATCTTTGATATCACAGTATAAACAGAAAAATAATACCTAAAATAAAAACACCAAATTTTTCTTTTTATCATTTATTTTTAGTACGCCCCCTAAATTCATAATACTTAAGACGCCCTAGGGCACTTGCCCCATTCCCCCCCCCCCCTTGGGATGGCTATGGCATGACGCATTGACATTTGACGCCCATTTAACTTGTAAGGGGTATAAACTATAAATTTAAATAAGTAAATCTACTTATTTGAAAAATGGTAACCAGTCGTTAAATAATTAAGTCTAAAATTAGAGTTAACAATTCCACATTTAATGATTATAATTATATATAGTTAGATTTGATTAATCTAAAACATTACAAATATTTATGTAGTAAAACTAATACTATTTAACTTAGTACAATTCGTGATAGGGGCTGTATTTAAGAAACCTCGTAACATCATCGAAAAGGTTATAAACTTATCTGAATTACATTCACATTTTGCAGTGGGGTCGATTGTATCTATATACTTTGTTACGAATCCTTGTGCTTCTATTTCTCTTGCAAATGTACCCTATAAATCATAGAAATTATATTGAAATCCATATATGAATGATTCTTATAAAAATATTTTATAAAATATTACTTTGTCATAGAATGCATCTGAATTATCAGCACACCAATAAAGATTATAGTGGTCTTTTTCACAAAACTGAAATTGTTATAGGTATTTATTAGAATATTGTTGAAAGTAAAAGTAGGTAACTAAATACCTAAAAAAATATTTATACATAATGTACCTAATACCTAGGTAAGTGTATACTCATAAGTCATCAGTAATCATAGGCGCAGTCCTGTAAAGTATTTGAGTAAAAGTATTCAAATACTTTTTTAAGTATTGAATAACTTTTTAAATACTTTCAGCATGAAGTATTTTGAATGGTATTTTAAATACTTTTTTTGTATTAAATACTTTTTGGTATTGAAAACTTCGGTTTTTTATTTCGAACATTTTATTTTTATTCGAAATAATTTTAGAAATTTTAGAATGAATTAAGAACACAAAATAGGTAGTATCACCAATGGGTGGTTTCTTTCCTAAAAAAAAATCATACGCAAATACCCTATGCACATTTGCTTATTGTTCTAGTTAAGAACAGATTGTAAATTTCATGTAAAAATAAAAAAAAAAATGAAAAAATGTAATAAACATTTATTTAATAAATAATAAATAAAAATGATTATAAATTTACTACCTATATGTGTCTACATTACAATAATTAGAAACCCACTCTAAAAACCAAAAGTTTTTGAAAAGTATTCCAAAAGTATTTGAAAAGTATTCCAAATACTTTTTCAAAGTATTTGAGTAGTATTTGAAATACTATACAATTAAAGTATTTGAGTAGTAACTTAAATACTTTAAAAAAAATGTATTTGAGTACTTACTCAAGTACTTTTCAAAAGTATTCTTTACAGGACTGCATAGGCGTAACTAACTATAGAGCTTTTTTTGGGGGGGAGCAGTGGCTTAATCAGACAACACATACCCTCACGGGCTTTCCCTCGCATCCAATTTTCATAGGTACACTACTACGAGTACAACCTGTGGGTTGTGACTATACTACATTATCATTTTTATAGGTCTACCTACAAAACGAGACCTTAGTGGAATTTCCCCTAAACAACTATAAATAATAACTAAAAACTCTGGATAGGTATATTTTAAGGAGCTTTTGAAATATTTTTGGCAGGACTAAACCCCCTTAAGCCCTTTAGTTGCGCCTATAACGCTAATGGTGCGGCGACAATTAATTGAGGTCAGTAAACGATTTAGGTAGTAGTAATAATAACTAGGTATTTAATTTATTTTAATTGATTGAATATATCAAGATAATGTATTAGAATTTAGAATAATTATTTGTATACTTTTTTATAAGTCACACAACACGTGGGTAGAACTTCAGTTGTTGAGTCATTAACTGTAGGACTCGCTAAAAATTCAAGATATATTTTGTTCTTTTCAATAGGTGAAGTACTCAGAGCGGCTGCAAATGATGACTGAAAAATAAAAAAATTATCAAAGTGAAGTTAGGTAAATATCTACTAACTAGACTTAATATTTTTACCAAGGAATTGTTGAATCGTAAAACATTATCATTTGGCACAATTCCGTTTTTAAAAAATTGATTGCACGGATTAAACTTGTCAAAACCAATTATGTAATACTCCATAATATAATTTAATATTGAAAATTGAAACCCTGTAAATAAATAAAAAAAACAAATATATTATTTTTATTGATTGAGGAGGTTGCAGTTGATGAAATGTGGCTATTATGGGGCTGCAGTCGGTCGTGTTAAGTACCTATATGTATATTATATGTAATAAACTATAGTATACCTATAGTTAAAATATATATTCCTAATAATTTATTATATTTAATATTATAAAAGATATAGACATAAATACCTAATTATATAGTACCTATAGATGTATTAATATTTTATAATAACATATAGGATTGCGCCCTTGTACTAAGGGTTCAGTATAAGTCTATGCGGCCATAGGTGCAAATAGCCTTTGCGATTTTACGGGGCATCATATATATTTTTTTTTTTTGGGGGGGGGCTTAGCCCTTAAATCCCCGATCCTTATTTACGCATATATGTCTATGGTACATGGATAATTAGACCGTACTTATTTTAAGCAAATTTAAATAACACCATTTAATTCCTATTTCTAATAAACCATAAACCGTACATTTTTATTGAATTTTTTTATATTATACAAATATGTAAACTTATCTACTTACAATCTGGAGACACTTGGTTATTTGAATAAAATATCATGTTGCTTGCATTGATATATAATCCAATACTCAAATTGGAATTTATTGTTGTCATTGTTGTAACATACTGTTGGAAATTGTCGTAAAACGATTCATCAAAATGATAATCTAAATTCTGAGAAGAAAAAAATGTATTTAATATTCATTAGTTTCAATCAAATTTCCTAACTACATTTAGTTAGCTATCAACATACAGTTGCGTTTATAGTGCACCCCCCCCCCCCCAAAAAAAAAAAAAAATAAAAGTTTATGTATGTAGAATTATCATTATTAATTAGATATACTGGAGGGTAATCCCGAGTAGTAGACAATGGTTTCTGTACCCCCTCCCCACCCACTGATATTAAATCCTATAATATACACCAATACATATATTATGTATTATATGTATTATTTAATATTTATTTTTTTTTTAAGTAAGTGGCACCGATGCGGTCGGGACTCGGGACCTTTGCGCCATGTGCTTAATTTATTTTTCGGTCTACCCGAGTATTAAATGTAAGTATCATACATTCATACATATTATATGATAAGCTATATATAATATTTATGTAGACTTGGGTAGTATTCCTAGTATAGTAGGTATTCCGGATGCTTTTAGAATACAGTTTCCCAAAAGTATTAAGTGCTGTAGGTATTCGGAATATATTTAAAAGTAGGTATTTAGAATAATTTATTCAAAATAGGTACTATAATATAATAACGAATCGTGGTTTGAAATAAAGCGATCACTATTAATACTTGAAGTATTAATTTTTTTAAATTTAAATTTAACTTATCAATGGATAGGTAAGTACCTATAATTACATTTTATGATCAATATGTTACTTTAATGGTAGTGACGGATCCAGAAGTTACCCAAGGGGGAGTGGCAAATTTTCAAAAATTAAATTGAATTTTTGGTTAGCGAAATATTATAATAAGAAATAAAGTTAAAAAGACAGCCCAAGGGGGTGGGCCAACGCCCCTCCACCCCCTCTCATATTCGTTACTGTTTAATGGAGACTCCAATAGTTACCTAGATTAGGTTAGGTTAGGTAACTATCTAAAAACGTTAAACATAAAATGGTTCATTTATGATTATATTCAAATGTGATAAAAAATACTGTTTAATTATAGCCTAAACAGGTTGGTACTTACACTACTATAATCGTAGTTTAAATTCTTTAGTATTAATCCTACTACATTATAATCACTTAAAAAATTGTATAGGCTTTCTGCTTCATTTGTTGTATTTGAACCATTCATTGCTTCTATCCAAGCTTTGGGGGTTTCATAACCATAATATAAATACAACGGCTTATCAGAAGATCCAAGAGCTATCACGCTTCCTGTAAAAAAAGTGTATTTTTTAATTTGCAGCGAAAATATAGTATTTATGATTTTTGCCAATTATATATCTATATTATATTCATATACCTATAAGCACCTTCTTTTGCTATAGAATACCTTATAATAATCTAAATTTTAAACATTATAAAGTAAATCATTTTGAGTAAAAATTCCCGTTTTTCCTTAATTTTTCTTTTGTTTTTCACGGCACTTTTCATCCCGTCTTACAGCACAAATATTATCTCACTATCTCACCCTTTCCAAGAGCATTGACACTTTGCAACAAGTGCTCCTATAACGACTTCTTTTTTTCGCCTTTACCTTACTAATATTTTATTTTCATATTGTACTTTAAACCAGAATGATTAATACGCCGTTATTGTTAAACTGTATGGTAATATTTTTCTATTGTTTTTTTTGTTTATTTTTATCAGCTGTTTATAATATTATATAATATTATTATTTTACTATATTATATTAGTCACAGACCGCAGTGCAATTTTAACACTGAGCCTAAGCCCGTTTTATTCCATTATTTAATTACTTGAATAGAGTTCAATAAACATTATTAATATTATTATATAAAAAATAATATTAAGTTAACAATTTAATTATAATGTGATCCTTGGGCTTGTTTTTTTCAAGCACTTAATTTTTTAATAGCCGGCTCCACGGATAAATAAACTCGTAAATCTGAACACAATGCTGAAAATATTCTGGAGTTCGTGTGGCGAAACTTGATGAAATTGATCACTTTACAATAATCGTTTAGAATATCCTTCAACCTGCAGGAAGAGGTTTCGATGGATGATGCAACAATGAGCAGTGTTGGGAAAGATAACTAATATTTTTATCTAGATTAAAGATAAAGATAATGACTAAAGGCTTATCTAAGATAAAGATAAAAGATAATCTTTTAATTATCTAGATGAAATAAAAAGATAAAAGATAAAAGATAATTATTTAAAATAACATTTAGGGTCTAACTCTTGGCTATCTTTTTAAAATAACTTTTTTATTTAATGACTTAAGGTTTGATGGAATATTCCTATTATTCTTAAAAGTTAATAGGTAAATAAATGATTTACAGATATAGATTAATTTAAACTATTATTTATTAAGACCTACCTATATCTTAATATTTGTACGATTATGACTAACGGGCTAAATAAAATAATAAAATCTTAATTTAACAAAAAAAAAAAATTAAAATTAAAAAAAATATCTCTAGTTTGCTCGGTTTAACATCTATTATCTATCGACAGAAAAAACGCAAAAAGATAAGTATAAGATAAAGATACTCTGGATTTATCTAGATAAAAGATTAAAAATAATTTTGACGTTATCTAGATTATCTTTAGATAATTTTATCTAGATAGTCCCAACACTGACAATGAGTCCACTTTATCAGGGGGGATACTGCCTTGGCACGCTCAAGGAAACCAGAGTAACAACCCGAATATACTTGCCACCTATCACCATCAGTACTTAAACCACAGCACTGTGACTACTTTATTTTTTTTAGATGGGGTGATTTGTACCACTTCTGGTGATACTATAGCTTGTTTGAAACGACGCTTTAACAGCACCTACGTTACCATAACCTGAAGATAGGTTATAGCCTATAGGTATGCATTTTGCACTTATTTTTATTTTCCAGCAAACGTTTGAAAAAAGTGACATATTTTTCCTTTAAATCGGAATTTTTAATAAACTAATTACAAGTACCTAAGTTGTGAAGGTTTCATATTGCTATTAGCTAGTATTTCCCCACAGACAACACATTCAGGTTTTGCGAAACGATCAATCGTATAATTGATGAAAACCTGTGGCACAAATATTCATCAGAATATGTCCTAAATCCTAATCTTTCCCGGCATTAGAAGTTTAGTATCATCACTGACATATCTAACCTGTGATGGTAACTTCTTGAGATTTTCTGTGGCAAAATAAGTAATCGATGACGGCAGGTCTTGAGTGTGAATATGATCAGTTGATTCGTCAGGTTTTCCTTTTACTGACGCTACCAGTTTTTAACCAATCGATGGTCGAAAATATATGTTTTTAAAATAATGTTAAAAAATGTAAAAAAAATAAATGGTACTACAAATATGAAACCACTGTATATTTATGTACGTAGTACGTTATGTGAGACACGTAAACTTTGAAAGCAAGCGACTGATTAATTTTTGGAGTACGTGCCAATATCAAACAAACTGTTCACAGTGGTGGTTTTATCTGAATTAAAGATACAAATGGTATGCAATTATTACGAGCAACGCCACGCAGTGGCAGATCCAGGGAGGGGAAGGGGGAATTTGCCCCCTCCCCAATCGCCGTAGTTTCCCTTTGTTTTACACTATCCTTAGCCAATTTCGTAGCCAATTTTCGTATTTTTTGTACTTTTGCCTCCCAACGAAAAAATTAAGCCCTAGATCCGCCACTGACGCGACGTTACCTGATCAGCTAAAATCTAGTGTACATACTGAACGTGGCCTATAGTGATATATTATACTCTTATTTTACCTATCATACACTTATACTATATATTACGAAAAACCAATTTACAACATTTTTACAATAGTCAATATTTCACAAATAATATGTAATTTCAATTAAATACTCCCAATTTCACTTTTTCCGGGGACCCCCAATACCTTCACGGACCCCTGGTTGAGAAACAATGTAATGAACTAATAAATATGCGACTGCTACCTGTATATCTGTCCTAGTATTCCCCGTTTTCAATAACAGTTTTTACTTACTTTCATCTTTTTTAGAAAAACTAAAAGTGAAATCAGGATGACAAATTAAGCCATCATAAACGAATGATGTACACTCTTTTGGTATCCAATCTAATGGCATGGGATCATATGGACAAAATGTTCCGTGTTCATCAAAATCACCTGAATACATACATGGTGCTATTCCGAGCACTGAAAAATAAAAATAATTGCTAATTAATATTACCATTGATTATAATAATATATACTAATATATACCAATAAATTATGGTAGGTTATAGCTACGGCGGGGCGGCGTTTATTTTCCTATTAATATTTTGTTGAGATTGACAATTTTACATTCGTAATATATTTTGAATAGAATGTCCGATTTGAATAATTCAAAAAGTAATCTACAGGTATTGAAACAGTCTTGAATACGAAATGATTTATTTGGAGAAGGATTAATACAAAAGTATGGATAGCATGGTCAGATTTTGGTCAGCATTTCTAATTTCTATCAACCTTTATCATGAAGTTTTTTGTAAATATTGTCGATATTGATATATTCTTTAATATCGTAGAACAATTTTTTGTTCTTTCATCAACTATATAGTTTCTGCAGCGCATGCGATGAAAGACATTTTATTGTTTATTTTTTTACACCTTGGGTTATACTATTGAAATGTTAGTAGGGATTCCTATTTTATTCTAGTAATAAATATAGACTATGTTACTCAAGGATAATGTAGAATTCTAATGGTGAAAGAATTTTTGAAATAGGTCCAGTAGTTTTTGAGTTCTTTCGTTACAAACATACAAAAATACAAATATTTTCTCTTCATAATATTAGTATGGATTAAACGTACCTAGGTACTACCCATTATAATGTATTTTATCACTGGGCACTGGCTATGTGTGACTTAAGAATATTTTATGTAGTGAAATTGGATTTTGAGTTTTTCAATATTATAATCGACTTCATTTTCGAATTTTGATTGTTATTTTTTATACATTTTTCGTTTGTGATTCTGAGTGTTGCGAAGATTGGTTTCACATTGATGAATTTATTATTTGTTTGACTGCTCACTGTTATTACGTGTTTACTGTTTATTGACTATATTTTATAGACTTGGATTTTATTTCTTTAATTTTTGGTCGAATTTAGATCATAGAAATAAAAATTATTTTTTAGTTAAAATTTATTTATTTTAGACTGAGCAGAGCGTTTAAGATTTATATTAGATTGATATTACAGTTAAATGTTTTTTTTTAAATTGTGCTTGTTTTAAAACATTAAAAATGCTCAATGTTCAACTTAAATATATTTTCTGATAGGATAGTGAATCTAGTTGGTACTTAGCTGGGCGGAAAGTAAAAAATGCCTAGTACTTTTTTTAATATTAAAGAAAAACAAAAAAAAATAATGGAAAAATCGGGGGAAAATGAGAATTTTAATGCATTACTAATTTTTGACCTAATCGATTATGTTATTTTTCCTTAATTCAAAAACAAATAACTGTATAGATACTTGAAATTTTTATCAAAATGTTATATACATACCTAAGCATTTTCTATAGGTTATCTGAAATACTAGGCCATGTGGTATCAATTTTGATCTAAGTACTTACTGACATTTGAAAATTTCGATTTTCCATACATTTTTTAATAAGTTGTTAATAATACTGGAATTAAAAGAAAAAGTTGAGCGTCATGTTGACTGTTGAGTGTGATTCCACTAATTATTTGTATGTGAATCTGAAGCTTAAATTTTTAAGAACTAGAATATTTGCTCTTAAGATAACAATCTAAGTTATTTTAATGTAATTCAAAGAATACTTTATAATATTTTAGGAACACAACAGTGAAATTCCACTCACTGCATTACTTTATCATCAAAAAGTAGATTTTAATTTTATTTCATTTAAAAAAAAATTATGAATATGTGTGAATGTTATAAATTCTTTATCGGCATAATTTGTTTTTCCTTTTTTTTTAAAAAAATCTATTGATTAAACATTTTAGTTTCAGTCAAAAAGTTTACCTACACCAAACATCTATTGCGTACTGCAGAGTTGTTTTAAGTTTAAATATAGGTACCTAACTATATATATGGGCTTCGATAATTTTTCCTCAAATTCAGTTATAGTGATTATGTTTTAATAAATTCGAAAAATAGTCATAATATATAAA